AACACACCCGCTTTAAGGACACTGACTGCTATTCAATCTATAACAGGAAAAAAAGTTTTTTGTTTTTAAATCCAAGCTATTGTGACACAGGATCTAATTAGTGGCACTTGTCAGCGTATCCACTGTTAGCGTAACACACCCGCTTTAAGGACACTGACTGCTATTCAATCTATAACAGTGAAAAAAGTGTTTTTTCTTTTTAAATACAAGCTTTGTGTCACCAGATCTAAGTGGTGGCACTGGTCACCGTATCCACTGTTAGCGTAACACACCCGCTTTAAGGACACTGACGGCTATTCAATCTATAACAGTGAAAACAGTGTTTTTTGTTTTTAAATCCAAGCTTTGTGTCACCAGATCTAAGTGGTGGCAATGGTCACCGTATCCACTGTTAGCGTAACACACCCGCTTTAAGGACACTGACTGCTATTCAATATATAAACAGTGAAAAAGTGTTTTGTTTTTTAAATCCAAGCTTTGTGTCACCAGATCTAAGTGGTGGCACTGACTGGGGAAATGGGCACAGTATACACCGTGAGCTCTGACACAGTAGTTGGCAGCAGTGGCAGACAACTGACTGCTATTCAATCTATAACAGTGAAAAGTGTTGTTTTTAAATCCAAGCTTTGTGTCACCAGATCTAAGTGGTGGCAATGGGGCACTGTAGTATGCTCTGTGAGCTCGACACAGAAGTTGGCAGCAGTGGCAGACAACTGGATCATATTCAATCTATAACAGTGAAAAAAGTTTTTTGTTTTTAAATCCAAGCTATTGTGACACCAGATGTAAGTGGTGGCACTGACTGGGGAATGGGCACAGTATGCACTGTGAGCCTGACACAGAAGCTGGCAGCAGTGGCAGACAACTAAGTGCAATTACATTACATAGAAAAAAATAATTAAAAAAAAGCATACCCTTATCCCTAACCTAGCTATGTTTTTCCCTATTTTATGAACAGCAGCTACACTTTCCCTCCTCTTACTAAGCATGCAGCTTGAGAATGAATCTAAAATGGATGCCTTCCAGGAGGTGGGAGGGTCTGCTATGGAGGGTGTGCTGCTAATTGGCTGGAATGTGTCTGCTGACTGTGAGGTACAGGGTCAAAGTTTACTCAATGATGACGAATAGGGGGCGGGTCGAACCGCACATATGTTCGCCCGCCGTGGCGAACGCGAACATGCTATGTTCGCCGGGAACCGTTCGCCGGCGAACTGTTCGGTACATCACTAGCTTCTTGCGACCCTGTTGACTATTTTGAATAAAACGCTTGATTGTTCGATGATCACGCTTCAGAAGCTTTGCAATTTTAAGAGTGCTGCATCCCTCTGCAAGATATCTCACTATTTTTGACTTTTCTGAGCCTGTCAAGTCCTTCTTTTGACCCATTTTGACAAAGGAAAGGAAGTTACCTAATAATTATGCACACCTGATATAGGGTGTTGATGTCATTAGACCACACCCCTTCTCATTACAGAGATGCACATCACCTAATATGCTTAATTGGTAGTAGGCTTTCGAACCTATACAGCTTGGAGGAAGACAACATGCATAAAGAGGATGATGTGGTCAAATACCTTACTTGCCTAATAATTCTGCACCCCTGTATATATATATATATATATATATATATATATATATATATATATATATATATATATATGGAAGTTTTGTGTGTGTGTGTGTTTGGTGCCGTGTGTTGGGGGTGCTGTGTGTATGTGTGAAGGGTGCAGTGTGTGTGTGTGAGAGGTGCAGTGTGTGTGTGAGATGGGTGCAGTGTGTATAAGGGGGATGTGTGTGTGTGAGAGTGCTTTGTGTGAGTGCTGTGTGTGTGTGAGTGCTGTATGTGTGAGAGTGCTGTGTGTGTGAGTGCAGTGTGAGTGTGCGGATGCTGTGTGTGCTGTGTGTGTGAGGGTGCTGTGTGTGTGAGAGTGCTGTGTGTGTGAGTGTTTGTGAGTGCAGTGTGTGTGTGTGAGAGTGCCGTGTGTGTGTTTGAGTGCTGTGTGTGAGGGTGCAGTATGTGTGAGAGTGCTGTGTGTGTGTGAGAGTGCTTTGTGTGAGTGCTGTGTGTGTGTGTGAGTGCTGTGTGTGTGTGAGTGCTGTGTGTGTGAGTGCAGTGTGAGTGTGAGGGTGCTGTGTGAGGGTGAGGGTGCTGTGTGTGTATATATTTGAAGGGATTGTGTGTTGGGGGAGCCAAATAAAAAAAAAAGCAAGCATTGTATCCCCTCCTCCCTTTTTACCTTATGCCTGGGAAAAGGGGGGGGGGGGCTTGCTGTAATTCCTGGTGATGCTAATGCGACCCGGAGCGTTGCCATGGCAATGCACCCACCTTGCGAGAGGAACCCGGCAGAGCTGCAATGTAGAGCTCCTCCGGTTCCTCTCCAGTCTCCCTTCCCAGCCGGTGGCCACATTACACTACCTGTGCGCCAGTGAAGGAGAGTTTTGATCTCCCCACTGGCCTGTCATGGAATATAGCTGAGGCCGGTGCTCGGATTGCGCGGGCCCTGCATGGGCCGGCCAGGATAATCCTGTGACGTCCTCTGCTGGCCTTGGCCCATGGCCACCGTGGCCCACTGGTCATTTGCCCCCGTGTGTCTGATGGCCAGTCAGGGCCTGCTTAGTATCTAGCCTGTTCAGTGCATCCACGTGAGCGCTAACAAACTCATTGACTATTTATACACAGACACTAATTGCAATTTAAAAAGCCAGAGGTTCTGGAAATTAACCTTTAATTGCCATTTTAACCTGTGTGTGTCACCTTGTTTGTCAGTAACAAGGCCAAACATTCAAGGGTATGTAAATATTTGATCAGGGCCATTTGGGTGATTTTTTTTTTATCATTATGACTTAAAAAGGAGCTAATCAACTATGTGATAAGAAATGTCTTCATATGATCAATATCCTAAAATAAAATATTTTTTGCATGATCAGTCCTATTTTCAAAAATCAATGCCAAAATGTCACAATTTCTGCCGGGGTATGCAAACTTTTGAGCACAACTGTATGCTCTAAGACACTGATACGACACACACATATACCCATGAATTCTAACACCAATACTAACCCCCCCCCCCAAATACACTCATGCATTTAAATGCCAATACCACACAGAAACACCCCTGCACTCAAAGATACATCTACCCCATACAAAAACACTTATATATTCAAACAATCCTTGAATCACAGAAAATTATCACTTATCTAAAAAGTTATGGTTAGGGCACAAAAGAAACAACAGGTGAATAAAACTGACAGGTTTAATAAATTGTGCCAAATATTCAAATATCCATAATTGAGTTGTAAATTGTCAACAACATTTTGCTAAATTTCTGTGCAAAGTGTCAACGAAATTGTGTATTTAAATTTTGGCAACAACGCCATTGCGATTTTAAATTCCCTTATAGCCCAACAGTGAGAACGCCAACTTGGTCATTGGTTTTTCTGACTCACCATTTGCGAAATGATCCATTTTCTTGATCTCTTTGCAGCTCCTGTACCCCATGTAAGAGCCCCCAGTGGGGGAGTCATTGTCAGCATGTCCGCTGGTAAAAACCAGGGCCAGCACTAACAAACTGTACTGCAACATCTTCTGCTAGCGAGAGAAACAAACGACAGGTATTATAAAAATTCTTATATACAGTTTTAAATACAAGATTTGGTGTTTGTGTTTTAGCACATATAGATTAACCTGCATTTATTTATTTAACATTATAACCATGACATTGTGATTTATCATGAGATTGGGTAAACAGAGAATTCTAGCCAGTGTGAATTCAATGCCATCTATCACTTACCTTTTTTTCACAGAGTATGGTGTAAGAGCAAGCTCTCGGCTCCTCTTTATAGAGGGAAAAACTTTGTAAACCGGTCCATCAGCATACTTTGGACATGTATTACCTAAAAATTTAGATGGTTTGGATTTGAGGAGGAATGGCTTTTAGCTATTAACTCAATCAATCAATTTCACATTCAATATTTATTGACTGCTTGCAAAATCTTTACTAAATGATACATTTAGAACAGAGTCATTTCTCTGTGCACACTCACATCAGTTATAACAGCTTTTTATTTATATCTTTACATATATTATATTTATATTTACCGTGCCCTCCACTAATATTGTCATCCTTTGCAAATATGAACAAAGAAGGCTGTTAAAAATTGCTTAAACTTTCGATCTTTATTATGCTAAAGAAGAGGCCAATTTTTTTCTGACAGTTTGCTAGAGATACAAATTACTAAAAAGCAATGCATTATGACTGCCGTACAACTATAATAAAATTAAGGTATCACAGACCACATTTGATCCCCCACTATATACAGTAAACCAAAAAAGACAAAGCATTGCAAACATGCACAAATACAATATAAATAGTAAGCTATCCCATCACTTGGGATATCATTAATATCAAATTAGATATTAATAAAATAATAGTTATCAGTGTTCAGAATATATCTGTTTGGTAGAACTGCATGGAATGTATGTATATTTTGTCCATATTAAAAGTAAAAACAGAATACAAATTGAGATGTTTTTCAAGGTTAAGGGTAGAATATTTGCAGACCTTTTAAAACAGACCGGTTTTATCTGTACAATTTACAAAGATGAATGTCGCTATGCTAACAGCAGAATCCTTCATTCTAAACTATGTAACATTTGATCCACCTGCAAGCCATCTCTTAAATCAATTTAGTTTTCTAAAAATACACCCGGGGGAGTATGTATGCAGATTAGAACAAATGTGCTCACATGGACCACAAACCAGTAGCAGCGGTTTGATTTACTTTGGTCATGAGAGCTTCCCCCAGCAACATCTTGGTGGAGTCTGCTTCCTTATCTGTTTCAGTACATAACAGGGCGCTCCAACACTCCTTTGCACAAAAATGGTTCTTTTATT